GTAGGTTGGGGACAACGAGGAAGTAGTGACTCAGGTGTCTGTTGTTCCATCGTATGTCCACAGCGCAGATGATCTTAGAGGTAGCCATGGTTGTCGACCAGGGACTGAGAGGGAAGCGGCTGTGTCTTGAGACATGTGGGAGGCTCTGCTGTCTTTGCTTCAATGCTCTGAATAGCTTCAGGCTGATAGCTGAGTTCTCCGCCCACAGGGTTAATGCTGCGTCGGACACTGATGTGTCGTGGACCTTTATGGCAGTCATGATTCGAAGGGGGCCTGAGTCTGAGTCAGTCGCCTGCAATGAGCAGAGGAAAGGGTCCAGGTTCTTGTTGCTTGGAGTTGAGCTTGGCCCTGGCTTTGACATTGCATCATCGGTCAGTGAGTTGGCGGCGGTGTCTGTGGCTTGACACTGCGACTCGTTGGAGTCTACTGACTGGAAGGGCAGAGGCTCGCGGATTTGCGTCCATATCTTTAGCTGCTTGAAGTCAATTAAGTTTTCAAAGCGATTAAGCAGGTATTTTCCAATGAGGAGTGGGTTGGACTTCTTCGAGGAGTTCAGTTGACATTAGAGTGATGTCGGCTGCTGTGTCAAGAAAAGCTTCAACTTTGATGTGGCGTTCGATGATGATGGAGAGATAAAACTTTCTTGCTATACCTTTCTCAATGAGGTCGCCCAGTAGTTGAGGGACTGGAGTTTGGGATGAGACAGGTAGGATGTCAGGACTGATCTGGTGTTCATCGGAGGAGTGGCAGATGACCAAGACAGCACTTTCAGGAACTTGAGTGGTTTCGTCAGCAGGTGTTTGTTGGACACTGCTGTGATCTGACGCATCAGGTGTTGGGTCAGTTTCTGACTGTTTTGCGGGTTGTTCAGGTAGGATTTCTTGTCCGTCTGAAGTTATGGAGGTTACGGTTCTCTGAGAGTGAGGTGAAGGAGTGCTGTTCTCTGTGGCTGGTTGGGTCAGCTGGTCGCTGCCTTCTCTTCCGGCTGCTAGTCAGGCTGACTCTGGTTTCTCTTTCTTTTCCCACATCCGATCCTCCTCCTTTCGGTGGAAGAACTCTTTCATCATAATTTTCATCAGCTCTTGCGAGTCGAAACACGGTGATGTCTTTTGTTCTTGTGTCGATTCAGTTTGAGTTTGGTCAGCTTGGAATCTTTGCGAGTTCCTTCGTTAATTCCTTGGACTGGTTGCTCCCAGGTGTGTTTGTCGTTTTCCCTTGGAGAAACACGGTAGTGTCTTTTGTTCTTGTGTGGATTCAGTTTGAGCTTGGTCAGCTTGGAATCTTTGCGAGTTCCTTTGTTGATTCCTTGGACTGGTTGCTCCCGGGTGTGCTTGTCGTTTGCCCTTGGAGGTTCCATTGGATTCCCACGAGCCTTTTACTCTTGAGTTTCCAAATGAGTTTGGCTGATTCCATGATATGTCCCATTGATTCTCACGAGGTCTGAATTGGTCCCAAGATTTTTCCCAGTGATGTCCAGGTGAGTGTTGTCATCCACGCGGTCCATCCCAGCGGTTGTTCCTCTGTTTAGGTCGGGTACCAGCATGGGAGTCTCGTTCTCTGTTGGACGAGGGTGTGTTCCACTCTTTGTGTGGTGGCTTGGCATGGTCTTGATGTTGGGCGCCCTCAAGAGCCAGCTCCTGATTTTGAGTGTTGAAGTCAAGAACTGCTGTGGATTTGGCGCCCTTTTCTGAGACCATCTTTTGTTTGCCATAGGCTTTATGCGCCATCAGAGCAAGGAACAGGATAATTGGTTGCTTCCAATTTTCCTGTAAGGAAAAGTTTTTTTTTGTAAGGAAAGAAAGTTGTAAGATTGACACCATACACCAATTAGATCGTTTCTAGATGAGTGTTCAATTTTTGGCGGACGCCTATCAGTCCTCAGGTTTACCTGTTTTAGAAACAGCTGAGAGAGAGAGAAGAAGGAGAGAGAAGTTTTGCTCCCAATGTTAGGAAAAATTACAGGGTGGTGGCGCTGTTAAATCGATACACCTAGGGGTTTGGTTTTGCTGTTCAAGGAGGATAAAACAAGCTGACCTAAGTTTTGAGGAAACCCTAACTTTCTTTTGGGGTTTTGCCACTAGCAGGCTTAAGCCAAACGGGCAAACCTATGAAAATTTAGCTGGGTTAATTAAATAACTGAAGGAGATAGAAAAGAAGGCCTAACAGGTAGACGCAGAACTTAATTGCAAATGAAATTAGAATTTCAAATTAGAAATGGTATTTCCTGATAAACATTTAATGATGTTATCATTAAAATTGATGAGAGCAATTAAAATTAATCAGTAAGTACCTTGAAGCAGGGTAACCCAACCCTAATGAGCTACAGATTAAATTAAAATTTCAGAGCATTATTGACAGTTAAGGATTAAAATCTTAATGATGTTTGTCATTAAAATTATCAGAGCAATTACAATTGAACTGATCAGCAAATATTGTTGCAATATGGAAACAGGAATTGTAATTAATTATTAACTGAAATTAAAATTTCAAATTTGTAATTAATTATGAAATTAAATTAGAAACTTTGAATCCCTAAGGATAGCAAGTTACTAATACCCACTGATGTTACTACAATCATAAGGGCAATTATAATTAGCTTAATCCATACCACCCTAATTACTTACAAATGCAATTAAAAATTTCAGAGCCCTATTGATAGTTAATGATTAAAAATTCAAATGTTGTTGTCATTAGATTGTAAGAGCAATTTACAATTAAATTAAAATTTCAAATCCATAATTACTTAAATTCGTAATATCTACTGATTTCATTAACATTATAAGAGCAGTTATTGCTGAATTAATCACAACGTAGCATTAAGGTAATGAGGATGAGAACCATAATTAGTTGCTAATAAAACAACAGCGTTTAAACTGGTATAGTAAACAGGCTGAAAGGGAAAGGACAAACCTTTAAACGACCGTGATTAAAACTAACTGTGAGATTATTAAGTTTGCATCTGTCAACGTTCTTTTCAGTGGGAGGAGAGGAGCAGAGAGATAAGATTGATAATTGTGTAAAATAGAGAGAGATGAGGTGAAAGAACCCACTAGTGTGAGGGTTCAGATACACACGTTTAGATCACATCAACACTTCAAAACACTGCATTTAAGACCACAAGATGCTACCGAATGCTAACCGCTAGCCTTCAATGCAAACTAATTAGCTTCAGTTAGCTTAGCTTAGGCTAGGCTTTGTTTACAAATAGCTCAAAGATGGCGCTGGCGAACTGCGCTTGCGCACTTGTAAGTCACCTCCGGAAAAGGTTTCTTAGAACTTCCGGGTTACGGGTGTCACTATGGCAACGTACTTTGCAGTATGCTAGCATGCAGGTTACACAGTTTACGTGCTTCAAACAGCTTACGTTCTTCATGTGAAATGGCGGCGCATTCACACTCTTTAGATTCTTATCTTTATAGCGCTGAACACTCAACTCGTTCGAGTGAGGTAAATTAATGTACAGATTTACTGCAATTAATACAATAACTATTATTGAGATCTCGCGGATCTCAGCACTTATTTATACAGACAAAAACACATGTGGATTTAACCACAATTCTCCCATAAAAATAACATTTGGACACTCTGAGCGCCACATTTTCAAGTTCACTAGTTTTAGTGGATAAATGGCAAGAGAGCATTAATTAGCTAAGTTAATTCTCAAGCCGGGAGATGAATAGCATAGACGAATTTGGAAGTGGAACACGCACCAACAAATCGAACTATGAAGGCCTTTCAAAAGAAAGAAAACCGAGGAACACGCTCGCTTCTTTCTTGTGCGCTTTTCTAGAGCGACTTAGTTTTTGTCTCGACAGACAAACTTAAATGTTTTACTGCAGTTCACTTCTTTAAACAACTCGAGTTGCACATTCAAACATTCAATACGCTGGCATGCCACAATAGTATACAGTAACACAACAAACTCTGTTTCTCTGTATCTAATCTATTCTTCCGGATAAAAATAGAAAAGATTCACAATAATGTCTTGGTGTTATGAATTTTTTTTTTTTTGCCAAATCTGCCCGCATTCTCCACCAATATGTAAGAAGGGAAAATTAAAAATGAAAACACACACACACACACACACACACACATACACACACACACATATGGTTGAAAGGATGAGGATTTTAACGGAGTTCTGAGAAAGTTCCCAAAGTTCTAACACTTGTTTTCTACGAGTTCTTTAAATTCAACCTGAGAAAGCTCACAACCTTGAGGGAATCCCAGCGTATTTGATTGGTTGCTGATCTGGCGTCTGGATGATGTCGTTTCTGGGGATGCCCTCCTGATGAATGGGGTTTCCTGGTGACGCAGAGGCTTTGGCAGTTCTTCTGAAAGAGTCTGAGGTTGTAAGACTTTAGGCTTTTGAAGATCTCTGGCAGTCACGAAGTTTCAACTGAAGTGTTTGAGTTCTGGATGACCCAATCGCTTGATGGTGCAGCGTGTGTGCGCAACTTGGAGCGCGATTTAACACACAGGCGAAAAGGCAAAAAGGGTAAAAGGCACAGATCTGTTCAGACGTTGGGTTTTTCATCCAGCTGCATAAGTCCGTCCCAATCGGACGCTGTTGCAGGGCTTAGCCACACCCTGTGTGGTTACCTTCTCGTGCATAAATTAACATGCTGTTCAAGACATCACGTGGGGGAAATGTCTCTGCAGGTTTTGTTAATAACTTCTATAAAGTGTCGCACAACACGCACTGTTCAAAATAACAGCTTTTCACTCATTTCAACAGAATAATAACAGCAGCAAAAAAAAAATGGCTGCCCACTGCTCCGGGTGTGTGTTCACGGTGTGTGTGTGTTCACTGCTGTGTGTGTGCACTTTGTATGGGATAAATGCAGAGCACTAATTCCGAGTATGGGTCACCATATTTGGCCACATGTCACATCACTTTCACTTTTACTTTCAAAAATTGGATTATATTGGATATCAGGATTGTGTACACGATTGTGCACTGTAAACGAGTGCACATTAATGTCTTATTCTCTTTTCAGGTGGTTGTTCACGGAGGTGATGTGTATGTGTTATGCCTTCTGTGGAGTTTTGTTTGGTATCTGCAGCCTCAGTAACCTGACCGTACTGTCCTGTGTGTGCTGGCTCAAAGTCTGCTACCACAACTACGGTAAGACCTGTCTTAGTTTGTACACAATCAAGCAGAAAATTGGGTAACACTTTATTTAAAGGATCAAATCTCACTATTAAATAGTTGCTTATTAGCATGCATATTGGCTGTTTATTAGTACTTATAAAGCACGTATAAATGTCTTATTCTGCATGATCATATTTTAGATCCCTTAATCCGACCCCACACCCAAATTTGACAACTACCTATACTAACTACCTTACTAACTATTAATAAGCATCAAATTAGGCGTCCCAAAAAAAAAAAAAACTAATCTAAAGTGTTACAGAAAATTATGTTAAAATTTGTATCAAATGCATCTCCTGTCACCACATGATCAGATTTCATGGAGGGGATCATGTTCATGTATTTATTTACATACCTGTGGAATAAGTTGGGATGATGTACAATCAACCAGTCAAGAAATCAGGTGTAAGTCTAAATTACTGACACTCAAAACTTGGTACACTTGGTACAGTTACCATCTGATGATACTTGACAAGTGTCATACATTTTCATGAATGCACAAGAGTGCACAACTTGCCACAAAAACAACTGTATACACAGCATCTGTTCTTTCATAATTGCTGTTTTTGTCATGTTCTCCAAACATGTGTGCCACTTGTGACTATATTATTCATTTACGTCTACTATTTGCTCTCTTTAAAAAAAACACACACACACAATTAGACAATTAACTCCAAATGACCACATGAATAAAGCAGACGTCAAGCCTTTACATGCTGTTGTTTTGATGAAATCCAAAGTAGAAAAATCTGTTGTTTTGGTGAAGGACACACGGATACAATGCTCACTGTGTGCTTATATAACAAACAAAATGAAATTGACTTTTTAATAAAGGATTTTAGCTAGGAGATATTTATTAGCAGGCCTAGAAATATTATCACTAGCATTATCTGTCAGGGTCTGAAACTGTTATTAATTAATCTCCAAATTATAAACTGTGGAGCCAGTCTTTTACTTAATACCTCAGTGTTTTGCTGTCTTTATTTTTTTAGTTTTTACTTTAATAGTTGATTAGTTATTATAATGATTAGTTTTATCATCATCTTGTTGGGCTCTGTTGTACATTTAACTTTTTTTCTTAGTTATTCAGGTTTGTGTTTAATAAATGGTGTTGCTGATGAATGAGGCTGGAGGTTTATTTAAAGGGGTCATATGATGCGATTTCAATTTTTCCTTTCTCTTTGGAGTGTTACAAGCTCTTGGT